CTAGACGAGTCTCCAGGTCTTCCAGTGCTCTGAGAGTACTAGAATTTTCGATTGAACCAATTGGGGAATGATCTGGAACAGGCACAGTTTCTTCTTCTGGGGTGACACTTTCAGCAGCAGTTTCCGATTCACCGGTATTTCCATCTAGATCTTCTCCATTGAAGTCATAGTCCGTGACTAAGAAGCTGGATACTGTATCGGATACTCCAGATACTGGTTTGACATAGTGAATAGGACGATGATCTGATGATACCTTGACTTCCAGAGCAGGGTTTTCGATTTTGCCATCCTTTCTGAAGACGAGATAAGTGCCATTAAGTCTCTCTTCAATGCTGACATAGTTCCCATGCGTCCATGGTCGTCCAAGAAGTAGATCATATCCAGTGTCTTTCCCAACAAAGATATTGGCATAGGTTTTGACTTCTCCACAGTATAAAGCCACATTGTTGACTAGACCATCAAGTCTACCAAATCCTCCATTGGCATCTTTGACTACAGGTCGAATACTAGTATCCATGGGAAGGCGAATGAGATTTTCCCAAATAGTGCGACTGACTATATTGAGAGCAGACCCTGAATTAACAATTGCTGAAATAGTTTCGCCATTAGAGGTAACAGGGACACGAATGAGGTCGGCATGAGTGATGGCAAGAAGTGATTCAGCTGTCAAGCTTTGGGGCTTGTTGTCTAGTCCAAAATTAACGCGCTTGGGTTTCATCATTTCTTGGAGATTCTGGGAAACTTCTTTTGATAGACCAATGACGTTACCAATAGATAGTGGGATAGGGGTGCTGAGAATTTGATCAATGATGGCTTTGGAGTCAAGATTCTGTGAAAGAGTAGATGAAGTCTTGAGCTGTTTCTTCTGTTTATCGGCAGGGGGATTCTTCTTGGTGTTTTGGGAAGCATCTTCCATGATTACATCGTCATTGGTGGGATCAAAGATAGGCTGTGCAATATCAAAGATGTGTGGCTTTGATGGGGCAGGTGCTATGGTTGGAACGGCAGGCTTCTCTTCTTCTTTCTTCTTTCCTTTTACAGCTTTGGCCCAATCTGGTTTAGGAGGAATGTAGACACCATCAAAGACTTGCTTGCGCTTCTCCTTAGACACTCTGTCTGGACGATCCACTGCATAGACAGGCTCTTCATCTGAATCAGAATCAGAGTCAGCTACTTCAGCAATGGACATAAAAGAAGTCGTAGTGAGGAGGTTAGACTTGGGGATAGTGCGATGTACAGCAGTTGCTATAGGTTCCTCTCTTGATCGCATGATTCTAGACCCATCAGACATGACAAAGCGACCAGTGTCATCCTTCTTGACAATTCCCTTTGACAGTAAGTCAAGCATATCTGCACATTCATTGACTCCATGACCAGTTTTTCCGCATCCATAGCAAAGGAAGGGAACACGAGGTGCTGTAGGCAGAGTGGCAGTGGGTGGAGCAGTAGGCTGAGTGGGTAAGTTGCTGCTTCCTTGAGAGGATCGAGATGGTCTAGCTGACTGGTTCATGAAAGTGGGAGGGCGAAGTATAAGTCGAGCATCAGTGTCAAGCTTGATAGCACGATAGTAGAGCAGAGGATAGTTAGGATCTTCAATTGTCATAGAACCCAACTTCTTGATAAGGGTTTCTACTTCATCCTGTTTGACAGCAGTGTGCTCTTCTTCGTCTAAAGAGTGAAGGGTTTTCTTCGACTTGGAAGGACTCAACAACTTTCTCTCTTTCTCTATCTCAGAGGTGCACTTTTTCTCTTTCTTCTGCTTGGTGGTTTTCCTGATATAACGAGGTGGTTCTTCCTCTTTGTCAGAGTCAGAAGAATCGTCCGAAGAACTGGAAGAGTTCTCTGAATCCGAATCATCAGAGTCAAAATCTTCATCATCAAAGCGATCTCTGCGAAGGACATGCTCTACAGCCTTGACAACATCATCAAAGACAAAAGGCTGAGAGAGATCAAGGGTAGGATCCCTCTGTAGAAGTCTGTTTTCAACGCGATGACGAAGGGTTTTGGGAAGTCCTTTCCAGAAGAAGCGATTGAATACATCCTGAGTGATTTTGGATTTGGCAAGAAGCCATCCTCCAACACGAACATACTTCCTCATGTAGCTCTTGAAATCGTCCAGAGAGCCCATTTTCTTCTTGTGCGAAGCATCGACCAGCTGTTTAAGATGATGCTCTTTAAATTTGGCCTCTGCTTTTGCAGCATCAAAGTACTGGAGAATTTCGTCTTTGAGACTGTTCCATGAGGGCGTAATGAAGTGCTTCATTCCTTCAATAATTTCGCGAACATATGTGGAGCAGTATTGGAGAATGCTTGAGCATTTTTCATCGTCAGCAGTGACATTGTTTGCATGACAGATGCGCTCATAGTGGAGAACAAAATCCCTGACACGAGTATAGTCTCCCTTGAACTTCTTAGGAGCATAACGAGTGCCAGGAATTGGCATAGTGATGACTGAGAGAGTAGTAGGTTGATTCATAGTGAAAAGTATAGGGGGTAAACGCGAAGCTTGCTGAGTAGAAGCTGGTACAGAAATTGAGTTACTGGAAGAGAGGGATGGGACAGATAAAGCGGTGGGTGAGATAGAAGGTGTAGATGATAAATTAGACAGTGATGGCGATGAAATGGTTGGTATTTAGCTTGAAGGAAACCACCCCTCGCGGTGGGCTCCAATTGTCGATGATGAGAACTGTTGTTAGAAAACCACACACAAAACAAACTAACACACAATCCTCCCAGATTCCACGGAACTTGTTTATGGGCTTTGCCTCCTAGAACAGTGGAGTGGTCTGGTTGTTCGTGGGGTGGTACGTATAAAGATCCTTCAAAGTAAAACCCAGAGGTGTATGAGTGTGGGTTTTGAGGAGGAGGGATAGTTGAATTTATAGAAAGATAGGGGGTTTGTGGCGAGTATAGACGAGCACTACCTTGCTAATTGTAGCACAAGGTAGGTTTGAGAACAACGAGGATGACGAGGTGACGAGGTTCCCAGTGATAGCAGGCTCCTGACGCACAAACTGTAGTGCTCAGAAGGACTCTAATCGAAGGGGATGACAATCTCTTTCAAAAGTGACGAGTGACGATGACAGCAGTTAACAGTGGTAGAAGTGGGAAGTGTTGTGACCACACTGGATCACAAGTAGCAGTAAGAAGTGGACTTAAGATTAGAGAAGAAGTCTGGAATCGAGTTCTTGTTGTTTTTTACAAGGTAAAATACAGGGGTTTATATAGTAAAAGAGAAGTAGGCTATGCACAGTATAGCTGTGCAAAAAGAATGAGAAAGAATATGAAGGAAGGAATGTACGCTGACGAATCCTGCGTAGGTAGTACAGGATAAGATTGTCAAAAAAAAGAAAAGAAAGGGATAGAACAATAAATGCTGTGAGTAATATCACAGGTTTGTACAGCCATAAAGTAAAGTCCAATAGCAAAAAGAGAGCAGGAAAATCATGATGTCATGGGAAGATGCAGTAAAAAAAAGAGCAAGGCAAAACACTATCAGTATCAACACAGTTCCTTTATTGTCAGTCAGGCATTCTAAAAAAATATGTGTCCATAAAAATGATTCAAAAATCAAAAATAATCGCACTGTAAATGAATGTTCTGCTGAAAAAAAAGAAACTGGAGCCACCGGTCCACCACCTAGTCCAAATCTGACAGTTCCATGGCCTTACCAATGGACTGGTTGTGTTGGACCACCTGATCAAACGAGGGAGGGAGAGGAGTAGTTCCAATTTGGAACAAGTGAGTCCCAGGCAGCGTGTGGTAGGTGTAGCTGTAGCGAAGACGATGGACAAATGATAAGTGTACCCAAGTGAATGGGACAGCGATGAACATGGGCGACGCAAGGGGATGAACCTTCTCCAGCTCAAAAACTACCCACCCACGCTCCAACCAGGCAAGACGAGCAACCGATGTTTTGATAGTATATGATGGCAGATCGACGTCATGAAGATGGACCTGTTGCCCTATTTGGACCGGCCGCTGGGGCTTTGCTGATATCAGCAGTGGCACGTGGTAGTCAACGGATCGGCGACGGAAGCGGATAGGAAGTGGTGACATCAGAAATGGTGGGGGTGCAAAGAAGATGAGGAGGAGGAGGGTGGAGGTGACGAGGAGGTGAACTAAAATGGGGACCCAGAAACGACCGTCGGGTGAGAATAAAAAGGAGAGGAAGGGGCCCATGGTGGGGCTAGGCAAAGGAAGGGGAGTAAGGGAAACGACAAAAGCAAGGGCGCAATGCAATGTGTAGCCAGTGGCGACGCGAAAATTTGCCGAAATGCCGAAATGCGGAAAGTACCGGATGGAAAAGCAAAGGTGAGCGTGACTGGATTGCCTAATAGAGGTGGTGCTGATCAGCCACAAGTTCAAAAAGGGCAATATTAATTACTATTCCACGTGGCACTGTGCCTGTGTGGCGCAAAGGCGAGTCTTTTTGAATATTCGCTTCGTTATTGACACCTGTCCATGCTACCAATCAACTTTGGTGCATAACATCGTTTGTATGACGAAATCCGGGCCTTCTTCTACGATCAGCAAGCTGCTGAAATGAAGGCTCAGGGAAAAGAGTTTGGAGCTTAGGTCACTTGGGTGCCTTCGCTCCTACGAACAATGAAGTAAACCACAACAAGGTGGCCCCTGCTCCGGGGTGTTGCATGAGCAATAAAGGAAAGACGGGGATGGCTCCCCAATTTGTAAATAGATTTTTAAATTTGTTATCTGAAGTATGTACTTGTATGAAGCATTGTGACTGTAAAATTAATGATACTACCGCTGTACCAGCGTCTTCCTTGGAGTGTGGCCCCAGCGAGACAAACAATAGGGTGCTTGATTCTGGTAAAAATAAAATAGAAAAACATGTAACTTTCGATACCCCTTCTTCTTCTTTGGAGCCACCCTTTCCCAAAATCCCAAGGTGTGTGTTGATGCGCACGTATTTATTCCAAAAGGAGATCTGTTTAGACGTTGGTGCGGAAAACCTTGCCCAGGGCATAGTACACCCAACCAGCGCACTGCTTGATTCAGGCACTAACAGAATCTTCATAGATCAGGTCTGGGCGGAGCAAATTAGACTCCCCCTTGTAAAATTAGATGTATCTATTCCCGTCTATAACGTTGACGGTACGCTTAACGTGGGTGGCTGCATCACGCACAAATGTTCTTTTGTTGTCGAATACCAAGGACACAGAGAATGAGTCACCACCAAGGGTACCCAACTGGGGAAGATTAATTTAATCTTGGGCTGGACCTGGCTATTTAAACACAATCCTGAGATCAACTGGCAGACAGGGGTTGTCACATTGTCACGTTGCCCTCAGGAGTGTGTAAACTTGGGTAAACCGAATCATGTCCGTCACAATGAGTGTCTTGAGAAGATAAACACTGGTCACGTTTATGAGCTCATGGAACTCTGTACCTACATTACAAGTTACTCCTTATGAGCTCCTGCTCCCCCGACAGTATATAAGTTGTAACTCCTGTACTCCGTTCCTGCAGTTCAAATATCAACTAGATTCCCTTGCTTTCTTACCAGTCCTTTTCTAAAGTCCTTTCTGATTCTTCTCCAAAGGATCTTTACTCTACTCCTTTTCATCCTCTACTTCTTCTCCGTCCACTTCCAACGAGCTAGGGAACAAGGTCCATGGAAGGGTCTAGCGCACGAGCTAAGCCGATTCCCCATCTCGTCTTCCGTACTCTGTTACTCCAAAGAGGTCATGGTTCCGACAATGCTTCATGTCAGCTTGCTTCCTCACTCAACATTATCCATCCAACAATCATGTACAATATGTTAAGGAGAATCAAGAATACTGACAAAACTGGATAAACCCGGTCTCTGCCGAAGCAGCCATTGTTCTCCATGGAGCATAGCCACCACTCCATGGAGTAACCATTGTTCTCCTAGGAGTCATTATACTGTAGCGAGTAGCACCTCCGACTATAAGTAGTAGGGGGTTTAGTATAGGAATACCTCAGTCGTTTCTATAGCCTCTCGGGCAGCGGCTGAGGTATGTTACATTACATTTATTAGAGATCACCTTAAACTAACATCTATTGTAGTTTCACTTAGGTAAATAATAAAGTTGTTTCTATAGCCTCTTAGGCAGCAGCTGAGTTTCACTTAGTTTTATTAAATACTGCCAATTTCTTACAGTCCCCCTCAATAACACCAAAGTAAGGCAGCCATCAGGGATAGTGCAAACATGGTTTAGGCAAAAAATATTGGGCCTGGCTGAAAGTGAGCTACTGCATTATATCCCTCCATAATGTTGTAAGTCATCTGTCTCAACAAGTCGGTTATGGTGTAGTGGCTAACATTGCTGTCTTTCACACAGCGGCCCCGGGTTCGATTCCCGGTATCCGAACTTTTTTTTGATCATATTTTCGATCCTGGGCAACAACTGGAGAACATCAATTTCTATGATGTTTTGGACGGGTGCATCACAGTAATTAAGTAGTTCAACCTGGTATTCATCTATAATTTTTGTATGGGCAACTTAAGCTTAAGTCTTAGGTCTGATCAAAGCAAAGAATTGGTCGAGCCACTGTTTTCTCATGCTGCGGCCACATCTGATTCAGAGGCTTCCAGAGCTTCCATTGATGCTTACCCGTACTTTTCTTCAATTTCGTTTTATCCCAACTCGAGCGGGTCTTTATGCAACAGCACGTCGAACCGTAATAAACTCACCATGCATTCCGAGTCATCTATCTCGATGCCACCATCAAGAGTTCTTCCAAAAGCCATTCTACTCAAGCTCCAGGTACTTTGCAACCAGTCTGTCGCGATCCCAGAAGCACCATGACGCAGAGGGACAACACAAACCAACTATAAGAGAGAACATTTACACTATACCCAACTTATTGACAACTTCGCGAATATTAGCATGTCCTGTGCTCGGTTGGTCGATCCTGCACGACGACTTTTACTTCGCAACGGGATTGCTTCTCTATGCTGGGCTTTCGGACTTGGTTGGTGATTTGAGTTCTGCTTCTGCTGACTGTTCACTGAATTTCACAAATTTGAAAGCTCGATGGTTATTTGGCGAGGAGGTTCAAGATGCAATCCGTGTTGGGCACTATCCTAGATCCCGCTGCGGACAAAACGCTAATGACCACTCTGACAGTCGCGTTGACCATGAAGGAATTACTTCCTCGTATGCTTGTTTATTAACCCAAATATCATGTCTTAACCGCCTTCTAGTCCCACTAGCTGTCATTATTATTGGGCGCGATGTGCTTTTGAGTCTGTCTGCATTTTACATAAGGTACACATCATTGCCTGCTCCGGTACGTCAACTACGACGCTCTCTATATCGAATACCTACTGAACACTTTGTTAGAAAACGCTCTCCAGATACTGGGATTTCTCTATACCGTCAGCAGAAGTCCGACCGACATTCATTAGCAAGGTTTCGCTTACAACATAGTACTCATTATTCGCTATTGACCGTGCGCAAATCCATCATTCAGGTAAACACAGCCCTGCAATTGGTGCTCATGGCTGTGACCACTATCTCACCAATTGCCCCTGCGGCGTTTGCCTTTTCCTTGCCATCGCTGCAGTAAGCACCCCGATTATAAGCAAGTTTCGTAAACTCATATATAACCTAGATGGACCGTGGCAGCAACAACTATTTGGAGTGGGTTGTCTTACGTTTTCTCTAAGGACGCAGTTCGTATAATATCGCAAACGCACAAGCACAAACACCCTCCCCCACGCTAAACATCTAGGTTAAGGAAACCAAACCGTTTGGTCATGGGTACATTAGAAACACACAGTTTACATATTCATACAGTGATACATGACAAAAAGGGCCTAATGAATACAACAAGATCGTGCAAATAATGAACTGAGGTATTATGCATCTTTATATCGGTAATCTATAATGTAGTGACGGTTCTACGACGTCGCACTTCCTGGAGCGCAGCAGCGACCGCTTGCTTTGATGCACTCTCCTTTCGCCATTTGTCGCTGGCAACTCTGTTTAACAAGTCAGAACGAGTTCTCAGACCTGGACAGGCAGGAGAAACCTACTTAGCGCGTCGCACAAATATCAAGGACAAGGCAACGCTTCTCAGTGAACGATTCTTCTTAGCTGCAGTGGGGATCTGGATTGGTTTGGGATAGCCTACTCTAGCTATGGCAGCTAGTATGCGTTGCTCGCTACAAAAGTTTATGAATCAATCGGAGAACGAGTTCCTGAGGCTACACACCTCGCTTCAAACCTTGCCAATAAAACCAACAAGTAATGTTTCTGATAACTCAAGTCATCGCGTAAGGAGGATTCCCGGGTGAATTTCGCTTTTAGGTATCGAATCTGAACTATGAGACCTTTGCATTCTTTGTTATGTTGAACTTTCATAGCCGCTAGTTGACGGTCATCACTATCCATCAAATATTAGCGTCGAATACGGAGAACGGTAAATGCTGCTCACGCTGGGCACACATGGTCCTTTAATTCGTCTTTCGCCTTCTGTACCTTAGTACGCTCGGTATCAAGCTGTTCGTTCAGGAGACGAATGTGGGTCTGAGTTTGTCTCTTCGCCCTTTCAGCCTTGGAAGCGTCCTCCTTTGATTTTTCTTGTACCTTTTCCTTCTCAGTGCGGAGGAGCTTCAGGTCTCGACCAAAAGCTTCGGCATCCCTTCTGACACGTTTGAGGTCTGCCTGAAGTGCGGCTACTGTTCTGTCGATGTTGCTTTTCTCAGCAGCAATGCGAGCCTTCTCCGCCTCTGTCCTTTGAAGCTCGTCGGCCTGGTTGGCCAAAGTACGTCGCAGATCTTCAATCTCAAGTAGGCGGAGATCTAGCTGGTGACGACGATTGTCGTGTGATGTCTGGGAAAGAGCATAATCTTCCCGAAGTTTGTTACCACGCTGCATCCACTCAACATCGCGTAATAGCCAAATGCACTTGTAGGACACTTACCTCTGAAACGTCTGAGAATTTCCGCTGCAGATCTTTGTAGTTAGTAGCTAGCAATGATCGTTCTTGCCGTAACTGGTCTATTGTTTCGACATTTTCTGTAACTTTGACCTCGAGGAGTCTAGCCTTCTGCTCAACGTTGGCGTTCGCTGGATGGGGTGAGGATTCGTTTAAGGAGCGAGATCTTATACTACTCACTGCGAAGTTCATTTTCCAACTCGTGATTTTCCAGTTTGACTTTCTGCAGTTGTCGCTTTACATCGTTCATGTCCTATAAATCCTGTGAGTAGTCAAACTGAAACATTCAATGTACACTTGCCTCTTCGGTCCTTTGTAGCTGGTGAACAATATCTTCCCGCTCTCGTTGGACGCGATTCTGCTCGGTGGACATTTGTCTCAGTCCGGTCCTTTCAGCTGTAAGTTCGCCTTCAAGATCCGCGATCGCTTGCTTAGCTTGGTCTAGTTCCTATAAAGTATTGTCAAGAGCTGGGATAAAATAAAAATAAGAACTCGTACCCCTTGTATGCCGACTCGCGCCTTCTCGCCAGCCTTTTCTATGGCTGCTACCCTCTTTACCTCATCCTTTGCATCACGCACTTGAGCATTTAGTCGGTTTGCGGCATCTTGAAGCACAGCATTTTCACCAAGCAGTTGTGACTTTTCCTCTTTCCATTGCTTCTTCATGGCACTGAGTTGCGCATTGACAGATTGAAGATCTGAGCGCAAAGCATCACTCGTTTTTGTAGGAGGTGTCGGAGGATTGGATGGAAGGTAGCTGTGCGATATTTCTGCGGAGCTGAATGGACAAGGGGGTCAGCAGATATATTGGGTAGCAAATTTACGATTCATACCTTTCATCCGCAAAAATATTCAAGCCTGACAGGTCAAATTTCACGAGACATTTTTGGCATCTGAGCCTCTCCAGTCGCTGAAGGCGCCTTTCTTCTCGTCTTGTCAGCTGCGCGATCTCTTCTTCAAGAACCAAGATCTTTGAGCGCGCATCCTCAAGGTCCTGCGTTAATCCAACGACCCCTAAGCCAGCATCTTCGAGTTTGTCCAGTTTATCGTCAATACTGTCATTGGCTCGGTCCAGCTCACGCTGCAGGCGAGATATTTCTGTTAGAAGGGGAGAAACGGAGGGCTCAGCAGTCGTATTGTTGAGCCATGAAAGCTATGGATGTAAGTCAGTCCTTGTTTACTGCCTGATCCATCAAATAAACTTACGTCTCTAAGTGGCCCTCCAGGTGTCTTGGGAGCCTTCATTGACATAGACAGAACCTGTCGATGTATAGGAGAAATCCCCGTGATGTTGAAGACCTTGCTTGGAGTAGACATATCTGTAACCGTCACCCTAAGCATTTTGACCCGTTCGAGCAAATCCTCCTTCTCTCTTTCTAATATTTCGATTTTAGTATCTTTAGCCTTCTCAATAGCTTTACGTGCGGGAGATTGTTGAAGAACAGTATTTAGCCTGGAAATTTCCTTGTTGGCTTCGTCCAGCTCTCCTTCCAATGCTTCAATTTCGGCGAGTACTTCCGGTGAGTGTTGGGCGGATCGACTGTAACTTAGACTAGCTGTGTCACGTTCTCTCTCCCTCTCGCGTTCAAGAACGGTGAGCTTTGATCGGAGATCCGCTAGAACTTCCTCGTCCGACTGCATTTTTGTTTCTGCTGCCTCGAGTGCGTCCTCCATTTGCCTTACCAGCTCGGTTGCCCGTTCAGCATCTTTTTCCAGCTCGCGTTTTTCCAGTTCGCGTAGCTCATTCACTTCGGCGTGCATATCCTCTTCAAACTTCTGAGCGGCCTCTCGTGTTTCCTGCAACTCCCTTTCAAGATCATCAATCCTCTGGTCTGAGCCCATAACCTCGTCCTCAAGCTCCTTGATCTGGCTGTTTGCATTCCTCAGATCCCCCATGAGCTTACTGACCCTTTCGTTTGCCTCCCTCAGCGCTCCGCCTAGTTCTTTCCCGCTCTCCAGCGTGGCTTCTGCCTTCTCAGCCCTATCCAGGGCCTCATCTCTCTGATCCCGAATTTCCTCCACCATCCTCTCTATGTCCTTGATACTATCCTCTTTAGCCTTCTCAGCATTTTTAGCCTTCACTTCCGCCTCTCCAAGTTTTCGCTCCAATCCCCCCACAATACCTTCCACCCCCCTTTCCACCTCTCCCATTCTCTCCCGCCATCTCTCCTTATCTCTTAACCTTTCCATCCTCTCGTCCTCCAAAGCCTTCTCCGCCTCGTCCTTTTCCACCGCTGACCTTTCCACCTCTTCCTTCAGCTGATCGATCATTTCCTCGAGTTCTCTCCTCTCTTCGGCCCATCCTTCGGCACCGACATCCTCCTCTACGTCTCCCAATGCACTGCCAGCGCTAATCCTCCTGCTCTTAAATGCAGCACTCGCACTCGTGAAAGCACCTATGCTTGATCTTCTCCCACCTTCCCCTTCCTCGCCTTTGTCTCCCTCCAACTTCTTCAGGCGTTGCACGAGCACTTCATTTTCTTCCTGCAGCCTCCTATTCAGCCCATGCAAATACGTGTTCAACTTATTTGCATTAAACCGCCCGACGCCCCCTCTGTTACCCAGTCCCATGACGGGATCAAAAGAAGTGTTCGCGCGCATATGGGTCGTCAAATCATGAGACGAGGCCGTAGAAATGAACGACGCGCGCTCTCCACCCGAATCGTAGGGAGAAGCTAGCTGTACTGGCATCTCGCCCTCTCCAGACGCAGATGCGGAATCAGATGCTTCCGTATCAACGACGTAGGTCTGAGCAAGAGGATGAGACATCCTGCCTTTCGTTGGTCTTGGCGTAGCACCTGCAAAGGCTGTTCTCAGCCCCGCACCAGGCGTCGTAGTGGTTTCATCCCGAGACTCATCCACCCCAATGCCGCTAGTACGCCTGTGAGGATGTGGGGTGGGGAACTTCATCCGCGGTCGTGCTGTGGAGTTAATAACGGAGAGTAGGAAAGACTTTCTCCTCGTACGAGGGGTAACAGGGTCTTCTTGGTCATCGGATTCTTGCTCCTCGTCTTGCTCCACGAGGTCTGGCGGAGGAGGAGGTACGTTAAACCGAGGACGGGGACGTGGAGGGATTGCAGGAGTCGGAGTAAATGCTGTAGAAGCCCCTGGAGAAGAAAAGGCTGCTGAAAGTGCAGGAGACCGATTCATAACAGTTATATTGTTCGAGGTCTCATATGGGGAATGGTTGGGGTCGGAGGAAGCTGAAGAGAAAGTGGGCTCTCGCTCATCGACATGCTCAGAACTAGCGATGTCCTGTGTATATTGATTATCCTCATAATCCGATTGTCTTTCGGGCTCGCTTTCCTGTTGATCATAAGGCTGGGGCGGGGATTCTTCTTCTGAAGACAACTGCTCTTGACTGGCGTAGAATTGGTCAGCTATGTCTTCCTCTGGTGGCTGGATCACAACGCTAGGTGGATGTTGGACCACAGGAGATGCGGTCACTGAACGAGGGAGAGGTATTGTTAATCCTGGTATAGGCGATGAGGGACTAGACCTAGGCAGTGGTATTGATCTTGTGCTATGTGGTGTAGAATTAGCTGGTGACGACACAGGCGAGGGAGTTGTACGGGATAGCGAAGGAGTGCGGGTGCGAGACAGAGGTCTACGGATCGCAACATTGCGGTATTTGTCGATTGGAGACGGCTGCGATCTAGTTTTGGGCACGAGCTAAAATAGAATATAGTGACTACGCACCTGGGGCTCTGCACGGAGTGATATCGAGTAATCATACTTCCTGTTGGGGGTTGGCTGCATGTCGGGCATTTCAGGAGGAAAAGGTGAACTCGATCGACTGATGGATTCAAGGGCGTCTGTTAATGAGAGATCGTCTACACCATTGTTATCTTCTTCGGGCGGAAGATAGGACTCTGGAACGCTGTTTTTACTCATGCCTAAGTCTTCTTCTGATGTATCTTGACCACCGACACCTGGAAGCGAAGGAATTGCGCTAACATCGAAACTTTCGTAGCGGTCCCTGCCAATTACCCTAGATGCTGAAGAGAGGGAAGATTTTGCAGAAACGGAGCGTGATGCAATGGAGCTAGCAAAGCGAGCGGTACTTGAGTTATTAGAGGGCAAACGAATGGTTGTGGTTGCTGTATGAGAAGACGCAGCTGCAGGAGTTGAATGGACGGGCACTAGAACGTCGTCTGAAGCATGCTCAGACTCGGATTCGGTGATGGCAGAATCGTCGAAAGCAGGCAAGGATGGCAAAGAGGGTAGGTCATGATCATCCACAGCTTGTATGCGTCTCCAAACCCTCGAAGGTGTCTCCAGCAACGCCATTCTGAACCTCGCTCAAAGAAAAAGACAAGTATTGTGTGTCTGCACGCGAGGCGCGTCACGTTTCACTACCAGGTCACGCCACCGCGTTATAATATTGTGGTTAGGGTTTACATTACCAATGTGTGACCGCAAACACCTCTATGCCAGTTCAAAAACAACTGTGTACCCTTTTAACCTCATAGTGAACGTGTCGAACGTAAGTCCCCACTCCAGATATAAAAGCCGTGTTATAAAGTACTCTATAGTCTTGGTCATGATGATGTGCATGCCCTACCTCCGGAATCCCAATGTCGATCTTCTCTGCTAATGAATGTTTGAACTTCACCACTCACACTGGGCTCCGAGTCTGCAGTTCTCGTCTTCTAAAGGCTACCAGCAAGGTCCTCGTACCTGCGATGATAGTCTTGCAGTCGCTGGCGATCGCCTCCCGTCATGTTTTCTGGTTCCAGGTACCAACCATTTGACTGGTTCTTGAAGCGTATTCCAGCCTTTGAGCAATCACCCTCAGCTTGTACTGCTTTACGAGAGCATAGATCCTGAAAGGCTCCGCTTCGACGAATGACTTCAGATTCCCGCATAGGTGTCTTTCTATGCTCGTACTCCTCTGCAACGCCGAATATCACCTTCCAATTTTCGAAGGTGTTCTCTCCTTCTGCAGGATGACACATGTCTAGAAAACCTGCCAGGTCTACACTCCTCTTCGTCAATTAATTATGGGTGGACCATCCTTAGTGTCATCACAATCTGATGGTTTTGGTTCACAGGATTGAGGTAGCGTCAACATGATCTCGAATACGGGGGATGCCAGCGGTAATCAAAATTTGTGAAATCTGACGTCGAGGTCATCCACCGAGCGAAGGATTACATCCGCTCTAGGACCATCAAATGGATGTGTCGCATCAGGCATATGCGCAAACTCCCATTGTGAAGCAACCAACAGGTGGAGAGAGAAATGTAAGTCGCCGAGTGCCCGCTAAACTGTATTATTTTTTTTGACATGACTCCTTTATCCTTGCTTATACAAATACAACCCAAGTATCTCAAATCGTTCTGGATTGTTACTAAAGCTAAAGTGCACTACAAATTCACGGTATTGCGCATATACGCCGATAATATAATAACAACTCATCGAAGATACAAATACAATGCAAGGTTTCAACGAACATAACCTCCAACTTCCGCTCATCAGTACTGATATATCCCCTATCGTGATATGAAGACTATAGATATAGCAATGCTCCTCAAAACAACATACAAAAACCTATGCGTCCATGGCCTGTGGTATGATATAAATACCTGACTATAGTACAAGTCCCTCGAGTCCGAGTCCGTCGAATTCAACTTTAAGTTATCAACGGATTGTGCCAGCCACATTGTTTCCCTCCTAGAACTTTACTTCTAGTTCAATCTGTGCCAGTTACATCAACACATGAAGCTGTGAGTTAAACCAAAAAAAAAACGCTTGCCTGCGATATGATATTGTCAACTGGCTCGGCAAATTCCTTGACGAAGTCCGCCATGTTTCGATAAGCCCTATCCCGACAATTTGTGCAGCTCCCGGCTTTTTTGACCATCGCATCGATCCAATCTTGGTTCAACAAAGTTTCAGCGCATGGTCGAGCGCGTAGAGCCTCGATAACGCTGTCCTGGTATTCCTTCAAAGGCAACCGCGAGATTCCCTTTTTCCTACAAGCTTTGCAATCGAGTTGCGGTAGAGGGTATTTGGACCAGAGATTGATGAGCTGTGGTACGGCTTGGCCGCACTTTGCGTGGTATTTGACTAGTCTGTGGTAGTCTCCCCCAGAAATACAGTCGAGCTCTGCCACATAAGACGGCTCCGAGATAGCATAACGCAGCATATATCTTGCAGCCACTCTGGTCTCGACCTCCGACCTGTATCGACATGTGATTGCGAATACCCGCATGGGTTCTGGCTCCAGAAAGTGGGGGGAAATAATCATCTTTACAACAAATTTCCCTACTCTCTTCATATCATATTTGTCCGCCGCATCCAGCACAGCCATGACAATGTCCAAATTGTCCAGCGCAGGAACATCAGTGTCGTACACTGGTGAGCAAAACATCAAGAGCTTCTCCATTACTCTGCTTGATTCCGAGACAGGGATGATAGGGAGACCGTACTTTGTCTGGTCACTTGCTAACTCAGTGGGTTGAGGAAGTGCAAACATATTCATGAAGAAGGGTGAGGCAAGGGATAGCAAGAATTTGTAATAACGGAAGTCGACGTTGTCACAGGTGCGTAGTATCATGTCTGCGTCTGGTCTGTCGAAAGGGGCTGCGGCGTCCATAGCTTTGTCTTCAACGTCTGCTTCGAGCATCGTGCATTCGGAGTCTGACATATTCTGAGTTATACAGTGACTTTGGTGGGCTGTCGACTTTCGTTCACTTTGCTTTGGTTGGCTTGCTGATAAGCAGTTACCTGGGCGGGTATGAGGCTGACCATCCGGTGCCACGGCAACTTACAAAGTGTCGAATCGTATCAAGGCTTCCTAATTTGGAACTTCCTCATCCGTTTCGCTCGGGCTGTCTCTCCCATGGCAACTTCCGGCTAAAGCTGATAACATACCTCCTAACCGCATTGATCAGGATCTATAAATCCAACCTTTACTGTACAAGTTTATGCCCTTGCGCTATCGCCACTAAAATACCCAACGTGATTGCGAGTGATATATCTCTTCGCTCTGCTACTATCGCTGACAGCCTGGCATCGTGATCTCCCACCCACAGCATGAAAATGCATTCATTTCTTCTTTGACCGTACTGGATTACTTAGATCTTGATATCCAATACAACCTGTCAGAAAAGCCGCGAATATTCAACCGACATGTTACTTTTCAAGATGGATGGAAACATCCACTCACTTCGGTTATTGTTTTCTCGATCTCGTCTGCAAATCTCGTCGTAAATTCCATCATCTGTGTATAAGCTCTCCGCCTGCACGCAGGGCACTCATTGGCACGTTCCAAGGCTTTCGTCAATGGTTCAGATACCACTTGACCACATGGCCTCTCTTGTAATGCCGTTGTACTCTCCTCCATGTACTCTGCCCACCACTCCCGCGCATATGTGCTGTGTAGTAGGTATCTGACGTCGCATTTGCTACGACACTGGCAACAGCTCGTCCACCATTCGTAGAACTGGTGAGTCTCCGAGCGCTTTATCCATTCTAAACTCGTCGTTAAGTACCGAATAGCTGCGCTAGATTTTTTACGATACTCCGCGAGCTTAAGCCGGTCTTGCGGTGGAATGTATCGTAGCTCGGGGCTGTCTAGTGGAAATGGTGATTTGTGCAACGTATACCTTGCAGCAATCCTGGCTTCTCGTTCGAGACGATACCGATAGGCGATTGCGAACACTCGAAGGGGCTCCTTCTCCAGAAGATGACGAGAAATGAGCGCTTCGCTGGCTTTCTTCTCGATCCCATCCATCGAATACTTTATGGCTGCCTCCAACAAATTCTCTATATCCGTCAAATTATCCAGTCTTGGGCTTCCAACGGAAGGCACTGGATAACAGAATCTCAACATCATGTCAATTGTCCGACTTCCCTCTGTCATTGGTATCACTTCTAGACCGTCATAGGTCTCGTAGTCGGGTATTTCTGTGAGAGGTCGCGGAAGATCAAACATGGCGTCAAAGAATGGCGAGGCAAGAGCGAGCAGACATCTAAATACACGAAAATACACGTTGTCAGATGAGCGGATGACTATGTCTGCTTTGGCGGTGTTGAATGGTGCTCGTGCGGTGTGCATGATGGGAAGTGTTTTTCTCTCGAGGACCTTAGGTGGGATGAGTTCTTTATTGTCAGGTTATTCTGAGATATATGTATCTCGACGAGGCATCCATCAAACATTCAACAGCATCGAAGATTTCGAACCTCGGGACCTGTTCCATTGTATTGGAACGCGTCCGACGGGAAAATACCATTCAATTTTTGATGTACCCGAGGACTACTCCCTTGCGGTCCCCCTAAATCCTTGGAATGGCGTGCGCTTGTTACAGCGTGTGCCTAGCGTGGTAGCGACCTCGGGTGCTTCTAAAACCATGAAGCCTATTTTGATCATTTTTCTTCTTAAGCAGATCAGGTTTCCCATCTATGCCTCGTAAATCTTCTTTAACTCTCAAAGACCTAATACAATATCAAGGGTGGGTCAGTCAACTCTTTCCAAGGCAACCGGAATAATCAGGCCACTTTACGGACGCATCGCGGCTAAGTACTGTAGACGTCGTCTCTGGCTTCGAGCGAAATAACAAAGAACACAGTAATAATTCACACCGTGTGGTTTCTCTCGCCGTGAAGCTCCCTTCTCGGTGTTCCTGATTGACTGATTGACGGTTTTGTGGAGTATGATCTGTCGAGCAATGGGGTATGGGAAACAGCAATGTTCTGATAAGATTATCGGATAAATGTCATAGCATGCTATTTTCCCACCCGGAACATTCCCAGATCACTGCTGTGAACGAATATGTAATACACAACGAGACCTCGAGGACAAGCTTCTATTGAATATTGATTTGCAGCCAAGTTCTCAGTGTCAAGCGTCGTATTCTCAGGATGAAATTAGTCCCGATATTCTGACCCGTACTTGGACAAAGCTTGGACCGTTCTTGGACCGCCTTTCGTGACGACTATATGCCCAGCCTACAAATACATGATTGATATCAAAATATGAACCGTGCTAGTCATCATTAAACTGTATTGCGATTTGAAAGCTTGTGAGATAAAATACTGGCTAATCACAAGTTACCAGTATCCGATGAGAATATAATGTAATGGTGTTTGAAAGAGTGCAAGGTTAACTGTTGGTACAGCTCAGACTGGTCAGTGACATAAAGATAAGGAACGCCATGTAGGAAAACGAGTAAGCGATGGAATCCAGTACCTGTCCTTGATTTGATTGCTATGAATGTTCGGTATCGCTGCCACTCATATGAACGTCCGTGCGTCTGATGGTGCGCAATTTTTTCCTGAATATGGGAGGAGGGTCAAGCATATTATTGTCTGCCAAGTGGGAAGGAAGCCAAAGCCTAGATTTAGGAAGTGGGCGCTTGGGTCGAGAAGACGTTGAGGATTTAAGGGGTTCAAGGAAGTTTCGGGCAGGAAGACGTTGCGAAGGTGCTTCCGCTGACTCGGGTTTCTGACGACTAGTAGAAGCGACGGACATCATAGAGGTGCTCGCGTTACTCGCATTTACACAATCATCCCTAGGCAACCATTCAGATGTGCGACTCTAGGGATCCATACAACCGTACTTACCGTGGTTCAGTTCGATATTTCTTTTTCATGAGCGTATACTTCTTCTGTAGTTCTTCGAGCTGTCTCTGAGCCTCCCCGGCTCTCATTCTGGCTTCTTTTTCACCTTGTGCGTGCTTGTCTGCAGAAGCCATGTATGCCTCGCATTTTTCCATTAGCAAATCTTTGTCCTTTTGCAACGACTTGACACGCCCGTTGAGTATGGCGACATCTTTTTTCAGACGGGATTGCGATGGGATATCAATAAACAGTTTTCGAACACTGGGAAGTAGGAAATCATGATATTTTGGTGGCACGAGAGCAAGATTTTGAGAGACTGGTTGAGGGATAAGTTCGCATTAGATGGTAAAGCAAACAAGACGGAGCAAACTGACCAACATAGAATTTTGACCGGCAGGTGGGACAAGCGGCCTTCATCGCATCTGGGCTGGCATTGACGTGTGCTATCAGGCAGCTTTCACAGTGTACATGGCCTGCCACACGCACATAAAACGCACGACTTTGAGAAGATCACAAAGGGCTTACCACACGGTATAGAAACGGGTGATTTCAGCTGGTCTAAACAGATACCACACTCAGCCATTAAGTGCAATTAGTGTCGGGTGAATGTTTTCGTTGAGTCGCGTTGCACTTGGAAAAGAACGTATATTGATACACGTGACCGCGTTGGTGAAACAAAGCCAAATAAGGACCCCCAAGCTGTGGCAACTGGACAGCATGTGTGCGGCAGTGTCAGTGACGGACACTGAACTGACACCGTGCCTTCAGTAGTCTTAGTCTCGGACGCGTGGTGGCCACACCAATTGGACCAGTACAAGGCCAATACGGATACTGGATTAACAATTATACACCATCTTTCGGAACAATACCCAGCTAACTCAGTGCAATATCATCTCAAATAACCCAAACAGCGTTCTTGAATGCCAAATAGCATCTCTTTGGGTTCACCTTTTTTGTCTTCTCGCCCATTATCAAGACCATCGTCGCGCACTTCGGTTCAGTCTGCGCGGGCGATCAGTCCTTCCGTCCCCATAGATGATTCAGGTGTGCTTATCTCGTTATATCCCTTGTTATTGCCTCTAAAGGCCGCCTTTTTGTGTTAGTGGCCGTTCGAAACCAGGTATCCTCGTTGAAACATTCTATTAGACAGAAGCAAGCCCAGTTACATACCCTAGAAAACGTTATCTTGCGCGGACCTCGACCACTTCCTCCTGGTTTTATGTCTTCTCCCCCTCATTCACCTGTAGAGGTTTTGGACATAAGCTCTCCTCCAAGCTATTGCTCTTCCCGTCCTCCAAGCTATGACTCTTCTCCAAAAGTAAAGAGGCGGTCAAGCTTTGACGTTCTCCACGGACTTGCGGGCCCGGAATCAAGTTTACCGCTCCCGAGACGAGATGGTAATGGGATAGCATCAATGAAGCAAGACGGCATTCGCGAAGGAATTCCAATGGATTTTGGTCCTAGTTCATCAACGCCAACTGCTTATAAGCGAATATCGAGCCCAACGCGGACTCTTAGTCGTACGTTTGCCGTTTTTGACTCTGCAAATCTCGCTACCCACAAAACGTCTAGCTCATGCAGTCAATGATGTAGGCATACCTAAGGCTTCAGTCGGTCAGTCGAACATCATACTATCTTATTTTGAAATTTTCTTTTCTCATTCACTGTGGTCGAATTACTATAGGCAATGCTCGGGCATTGGCCGATGAAGGTTCAACTCCTCGCCGCCGGTCACCTTCAGTTCCTCCGATAGATGCCAACGCAGCCAATTCTTCTTCTTCAACACTGAGTCCTTCGACACCATCTCTTCAACCTCCTGCTTCGCCAAACCGACGTATTTCTTTGACACCTGGGGGCACTACAAGAGTTCTGGCTGACCTACAGACAGGTGTTAGCAATGCGAAACATGCTCTTGAGAACACCAAAGGGCAACTAAGGGTGTCTCAAAGAACAGTCGCTCAGTTGACTAGACAAACAGAAGATTTAAAGGAAAGTCGAGAGCGCCTGAGACTTGAGAATGAAGGGCTAAATAATGTCGTTGCTCGAAAAGAGCGGCTTCTTCAAGAGGTGATTATCCCCATCCGTCATATTGTTGCATCGAGTTTATCAACCAATATGTTAGTTACTCGAACGGGCCCGTAAAGCTGAAGCAGAGGCTGCTACCCTCAAATCTCAGCTCAAATCAGAAACGGCTACCTCGAAAAAATCTTTACGAGAGATGGAAACAGCTCTTGCAGAATCTAGTGCTTTATCTCAGAAATGTGAACGAGAGTATATCACACTCCGAGATAGCTTGAAATCTATGACAGAAAGCTGGAAAACAGATACAGGTCGACTACGGGAAGAGATGCGGAAAAGAGAGGAGAAATCAAGGAAGGAGATGGAAAGCGTTGGCAAAAAATACAAACTATTGCTGGAGGAAGTGAAAGCCGCGGAGACTGACCGAGAAACTATTAAAAGCCTTCGCTCCGAGGATGACACAGTAAGGAAACAGATCGAGGACAGTTTTCGTCAGGAAATTGGTCAGCTCAAGCAACAAGTGGAGAGCTTTTCACAAAAAAGTGAAAAATCAAATCGGACTGCGGAGTATGTTCTATTCTATTTGCCTGACTAGTTCATTGCTGATGTTCTCGTGAACATTGTAGTCACTTGTCGGGTGAACTGGCACGCCTCCGAAGGCTCATGCAGACCGCTGATCAGTCTGCTCCACCACCATCAGTCGATGGGACATAGGGGACACGCATCGCTTTCATTCATAATCACGCACTTGCCATTTGAATTTGGATCCATGAAATCATAGGTTCTAAGGACAGTATTCATATCTAAGTCGATGACTACAAAAACCTTTCTATCGCTCATTTAACTTGCACATTTATTTTCGCACCTTTCATTTGCCCTGCTAGCAGTTCTGTCGTATACCCGTGTCGCTCCTGATAATAAGCAAATGTATTTATGTTACCGCTACCATCTACGCCCAGCATCATGAACTTTCATCATAATGGTAATTTCTGAGTGGCCGCCATGACCTTTTGGCTTTTGCGGCGTTCGGGCATACCTTCGGGGACGAAGCCGGCTCCGGTTATAGAAGAAGCCGGGTATGTGATTCTCACTTCACAATAAGTTTGACTCTGTTCCTTGTTCATCGCACCTCTGCTCCCACTCACCACAGTTGTACCGTTGTACCCATAATGTCTCTCATCACCACACCTGTTACTGAATTGTTTGGTATCAAACACCCCATTATTTTGGCGGGTACGTGGTTATTTTGACACTCGTTTTCCCGTGCTGACGAGGCACAGGTATGAATGTGGCCGCTGGCCCAGAACTGGCAGCTGCTGTTACGAATGCTGGAGGTCTCGGTGTTATTGGTGGGCACGGATATACACCAAAAGTCCTCAGGCAGCAGGTCCGTCGTCGTCGTCATCTTTATCTTGTTTGCCTTTACTCACAATATTCAAGATTCAAGCCATTAAGAAAGACTTGAAAGACCCAAATGCACCATTTGGAGTCGACCTTTTGATCCCTGCAGTTGGCGGTTCTGCCAGGAAGACGAATGTAGGCGTCTTTCGAAGTGTCTTCACGCCGTTGAATTACTTATCTGGTTGCGATAGTATGACTACCAGAATGGGAAATTAGGCGACCTAATCGACATTATCATCGAAGAGAAAGCCTCTCTTTTCGTCTGTGCAGTTGGAGTACCCCCACAGTTTGTAGTAGATAAGCTGCACAAAGCTGGTATCCCTATCATGAATGTACGTTTCTTTCGTTAAGTGGCTGCGCAGTTGTCTCACACGAGTGTGCAGATGGTTGGACACCCTAAACACGTCCCCAAAGCTCTGGATGCTGGCGTTGACCTCATTTGCGCTCAAGCAGGAGAAGGCGGAGGACACACGGGTGACACACCTGCTTCTGTTCTTATACCTGCATGTGTGGATGCCGTCAAAGGTCACAAGTCTCCTTTGACTGGCAAACCTGTGTATGTCGTCGGTGCTGGTGCGGTTTATGACGGTCGTGGACTAGCCGCAAACTTGGCATGGGGCGCGCAAGGAGTGTGGGTTGGAACGCGATTTGTAGCCTCGGTCGAAGCTGGCGCTCCCAAAGCTCACAAGGATGCACTAACAAGTGCTGGTTATGAAGACGCTATTACTACTGTTATATACACTGGCAGGCCACTGCGAGTCAGGAGAACTCCCTATGTTGAAGATTGGTAAATTCATTCTTAGAAAGAGTATCCAACGACTATTCGCTAATGTTTCTTTCATAGGAACAACAACAGACAAGCGGAAATCAAGGAACTCACGTCGCAAGGCATCATTCCAAACAACCACGAAATGGAGAAGCATCCCGAGAAGTCGTTGCAAGCTAGAACATTTTTGATAGGACGAGTAGCTGCCCTGATCAATGACGTGCTTCCTGCTCAACAAATTGTTGACGAGATGGTAGCAGATGCATCGAAGATTCTCTTGCACGGAGCATCGCTAGTTAATGCAAAAGCGAAGCTATGATTTTTGCGCGTTCTTGTAGGTGCTATTCGAATGTAGACCTTGAGCATCTCCTATCGTTGCATGTCCCCACATTGTATTATCTATCTCTTCTTATTACACTAGCACTTGTCTGTGGATTTGGTCAACGATCGTATACTACCGTGACATGATAATTATGATGTCACATTCATGTCACGCGTGTGCACTAATGAATGAATACTTCTGTTCGAGTTCACTCGACGCGACCGTCTTGCAAGACTCTGCTTCATTTACACTGGTATTGAACCACGGTATGAGTGCTAAACCGAAAGTTGAATAAGCTCTCACGTTCATCTCAGACTAACAAGAAACATGGCAACTCCAGATGTCGAACAAGTGGATAATGCCGCGAGGGATATGGTGAGGGCGGCTAGAAAGGATGACAGTTTACGGTGTGTAGACTGCAACACTCTTGTACTTTTGTGAAAGTCAATCTTGAGTCATTTAGCCTTCTCACTCTGCGAATTGTTCGCGAGAAGCTAGAAACGAAATTCGCGCTAGAGAAGGGAACATTGGATAAACAGCCATTTAAGGGTGTTGTCAAAGAGGCTGTCCAAGATGAAGTGGTAAACACTGACGCGTCCTTCTTGGTGTCACCCCTGTTAAATGGACGTTAGAATTCTCATCAGCAGACACACGAGGAAGGAGACAAAGCTGAAGAAGAGGATCTTAGCGTTGACCAGCCCGGACCATCCGAACAGGATAAAACTCATGTCGCAAAGGCAAAACCGAAACGAAAACCGCGGTCCAAAGTTGCAGAAGAGAAGTCAATACACGTCTCTGAGGAACAGAAAGGTACTTCTAGAGGTGGCGCGAAGAAAAAGTTGGCAAAAGCGTCGGTAAGCTTTTCACCATACTTCGGAGTGTTTTCTTGTTATTCAAGATATCATTAGTCAATAGTTGATTCTTCGGAAGATGAAGAAGATTTCGAGGGAAAAACTAAATCATCCCAACCTTCTATGCATAAAGTCTCCAAGTCACCCCTGAAAGTTCCCGTCAAGGCGGACCAGTTGGACGGTAAAAAGGTATTTTCTCCGCCTCCGCCATAGCCTTTGTATATGCCGATCACATTTCAGGTTAAAGCGAAACCCAAGCGGCAGCCCAAGAAGATAGCCCCTGTAGCTGATTCTGAAAATGATGACAACCCTTCGCCTTCTAATGCACGACTGTCTGGAGCTGATTCACAGGATGTGGGTTCAAACCCGAAGGCTCCAGCGAAACCTTCCTCTGGGGAAAAGGATACTACGACTGGGGATGGAGAGGTCAGTTCTCGTTGTACGTTTTCATATTAGCATTTTATCGAAACTTAGCTAGGCGAGCGAATCCGAACGTTCTATTATCATTGACGAAACCCCCAAGAAACGTAAAAGAAAGATTAAGGTACGGTTAAAATTTTAATGATTTCCATAGGCTAAAAATGGCAAGTTTATAGGAACCTGATGAAAGCCAAAAGCAACCCAAAGAAAAGAAGCAGAAGAAAGGAGCTGTTCAACTTTCGAAAGACGAAGAAACTGTTAAGCGATTAAAGGCAATTATCTTTGGTGTTGTCAGTATTATAAAGACAAACTGACTATTTCTGGCCAGGCAATTGTCTATGCGTGTGGTGTGCGCAAGGTCTGGTCCAAGGAATTCCAGAATATTGATAAACCCTCGCAACAAATCAAGAAAATCAAGGACGTCATCGCTGAATTAGGGATGAATGGACGACCAACTCTTGAAAAGGCTAAGGCCATCAAAGCAAAACGAGAACTGGCGAAAGAACTAGGTAATGCTACCGTTACATTATATAATTACATCTGACAGCACTAAATCTCGTGTTGTATATCGTACAGAAGATGTACGTGCCTTTGGAGAAGCTCATGCCAGTCAGTCAGAAAAAAATCGAAGTAAACAAGGATCAACTGCACTGGCTTCCTCGGTGGAAGCTGAAGGTGCAAGTGATAATGATTCCATTAACGAAGAAGTTCCACCGAGAAAAAAGGTGAGTGAATGCCCATAGCTACGACAGAACTCTCACCTTTTTCAACAGAAGACGGCCTGGCAAAGTATATCGGCGTTCTTAGATGACCAGAGCGATGAAGAGTAACGATGCCCGTTGATTGACAAGACTAGTTTCTTGAAATCTATGTAGAATTTTGTGGGGTATACAATTTTTCTGTGCATTGTCTTCAAAAAGAGCAGAACGTCGCAATGCTTTAACACGCTAATCATGTATATCATGTAAAATATAATAGGTTTGATCATCAGCCTGTCGTCGCCACCTTGGGTAGCTGGACGCAACCCATCTTGCTTCTCAAGCGAGTCCTCAATATCACTAAAGGGCTTTTGACATTGAACTAATTCCCCAAGATTTAGATTGAATGTTGGCGTGATACCTTTCGGGTGAGCACATGCCCACCCCTATCATGGCGATTTTCTAAGTCTAGGTCCGAATCACCCCTGTCCATGTCACAACACTTTTAGAGATACGATTTCACAAATTCGGCCATCTACGATTGCCTAAATATGTTGTTTACCTCACTGGTTGGATGCCTCACTGCTGCCTCGAGTTCTCAGTAATATAATCAGCCTGAGATATTCGTAGTGATTGTTCAGTTCCCTTTACACCCCTTCCTTGACCGACATGTCGACAGACGTCCCGTCGCCTGAAACTCCCTCGTCATTTGACGTTCCACCTTCAGTTCATGCGCCATCGCCATTTGATCATCCAAAGGCAGATATCATATTACGTTCTTCAGACAACGTCGACTTTCGTGTCTTCAAACTATTCCTTTCCCTCGCATCGCCTTTCTTTGAAGCGATGTTTGAGCTCCCACAGCCCTCACCAGAAAGCAGTGGAGATGAGGTCAAGGATGGTTTAGCTGTCATTTCGGTGACTGAGGATAGCAGCACCTTGAATACATTCCTCAGATTCTGTTACCCGTCGACTTTGGCGGAGGACCCCAACTTGGAAGAGCTGACGGATGTGGTGAAGGTATTGGATGCTGCGAGGAAATACTCGTTGGAGTTGATTGAGAAGAAAGTAGGACATGCTTTGGGCAGTCCAGCTGTTCTGGAGAAGGAGCCATTTCGTGCCTTTGCCATTGCTTGCCACTCCAAATTGGAGAACGAGACGAGGATTGCCGCTAAATCCACGCTGCATTACTCTCTTATCCCCCCGGTGATTAAGGAATTGGATCTGATCACAGCTATGGATCTTCGTCAACTTCTAGATTACCACATACAATGTGCAGCGGCAGTGGAGGGACTAACGTCGTTGACCTGGATTGATAATCACTATGGGAATACGGGTTGCACATGGCTAACAAGTGGTCAAGATGCTTATGGGTACAACCGTTGCAATTGCTCACGTAGCAGCAAGTACAGGATCCAACAAAGTTACACTCCTCCAGATTGGTGGGCCGAATATATGGACACAACTTGGGCCTCCTTGCGGGATAAACCATGTGGCGCGACAGTTTTGGGAGGTTTAGATGCAGCAGTCAGCAAAGCTAGGGATAGATGCTCGCACTGTGGCCAGAATGTTTTTGAAAGAATGACCGAGTTTACGAAAGTATTTTCAGAAGCAGTCGAGAGGGTGACCGCAGAGGTTGGTAAACATTTTCCAACGGAATATACAAGCAATAAGGACTAACCAATTTCTATTTCAGATTCGACTTGACATAGAGGGTATGACAGTCACAAATATTTATTGAAGAATCTAGAACCGCGTGACAATTCTTAGGATATAGCAGAATGATTCCATGTATGATATCCAGTTTCTCGGGAAAGTGGTGGGTCATAATTAGTAGAGCTTGAAGTCACAAAAAGAAGCTACAAGAAACACGAACGAGAATTATTTATCATTGCACGTTTTGCTTTTACTCGAGGTGCTGGGAGTCCCTTTTCCTATAAAACGGCATGAAACTAGATCCCGCATGAGGTGCCAATAGTGTTTGATGCCTCGCTGCTGCCTTAAGGTTCAAACATTATAAGCAACAATATAGCGCGGTAAAAACGCTCATATTGGCCCTAGATACCCCCCCCAGTGCCTATAGCTAGTACCGACCATGACCCTTGCTCCGCCGCCCTTCAATCATCCAAAGGCAGATGTAATACTGCGTTCTTCGGATGACATTGATTTCTGTGTCTTCAAATTATTCTTGTCCCTTGCATCACCACATTTTGACACAGTCTTTAATTCGCCACAATCACCCTATAGACCCGAGGCCAAAGCTAAGCTATCAGTTATGTCGCTCCCGGAGAATAGCAGCACAATCGACATACTGCTCAGATTTTGCTACCCTTCCACTCTAGTGGATGATCCTGATCTGGGGGACCCGGGTATCTTTAAGATTTTGGCGGAGGTCGTATGTGCAGCGAAGAAGTATTCGGTGGAAGTGATAACGAAGAAGGTGGGACTCGCCCTCAGTGATGCAAAGGTTTTGGAAAAAGACCCTTTTCGCGTCTTTGCCGTTGCGCGCCATTCTCAGCTGGAAAAGGAGACACGCCTTGCAGCAACATATACACTTCGCCAACCACTGATCCCCCCGAAAATACCAGAGCTGAACCTGATTTCAGCCATGGACCTTCTAAAACTGCTTGATTACCGCATTCAGTGTACTCTTGCTGTTCGGGATTTGAAGAACCTTCCTCTACTGAACACGCCTGAATGGACACTCTGCCCAGTGCATTCCCCGAAAAATGCTATGGGCAAGAAGAAAGTGAAAAAAGGCAAGCCAAAGTCCAGCGATACCACTACTAAGGAATCCCCCGAATGGTGGATCCAGTATAAGGAAAATATATTCGCGGCTTTGATGACAAAACCAGCCAGAAATACTGTAGAGGAAGCTACAGGATTTCGAGTTGTAAGCCAGTCATTTCCATGCAATGCTTGTGGAGAATTAGCTCGGGGATACATGAACAATTTCACCGATGAGTTCTGCAAAGAAATCGAATTAGCGACGGCAAAGGTGATTCACATTGTGCAAAGAAACCGTTTCAGCGGCTGACTTTGACTCATCACAGGTCAAGCTTGATATCATCATAAATAAGGACGAGGGTGTCGCGGTCGAGAATAGTCGGGGCAGTAGCTGGAAAGAGAATTGACGAGGAATGGGCGGCGAAGGTGTTATTGTGTTCTTCCTCACTGAGTGACTGCAGCAAGCTAATCGATCAACGCTGCAGATCTAACTTGGCAGCTTACTGAAATTGGCTGTCCCAGCCGTTCAGATTGCGGCTCCAGCTGCTAGTGTAGGCGAAGAAATGGGCAGGCAACATGATATTCTTATCGGAGAAACGTATTTTCTTTTTCTTAGTCCCAAAATCCGAGAGTAGCATTGATAGCTACCCCCTGATAAATTTGCTAGAAATATAATGGGAGTGGTGGGGTTAATTCAACTTTGTCTTGTTGCTGAGATTGCGTCAATACACCTCGCCTCGGCAAGTCTGGCTACCTTGTTCTTGCTCTGCTTTGTGTTGGATCCATCGTTCGCGCTAAAAGCGTCGCTACCTTGTCCTCGGAGCAATACAACTGTCGCTTCCAATGGCTTTTAGCCTTCACTGGAGCTCGTAGGACCTAATTAAAACTTTAATGGACCGCAGCCAAAGATGACAGCTGGAGACATTGCGGCGCAAACGTCAGCTTGGCCGTTCTCGAGCTGCTCGTGTTTGGTTCAAGGTTAGCAAAATGCAAGTCAATACTGGGGTATGGATGGGAAATTAGCTTGGGATGTGTTGCTTTGATTCCCCTGTAGGCAACCCGTTACATTGAGAAATCTTCAAGTGATGGTAGTATGACCTGTTTGGTAATTTAGGCCTGAGCTTCGTAGTGCTTGTGGGGGTAAAGCTGGATAGGATTAGGACTTATCATGCTAGACTCCAAGCTTTTGCATCTTATCGTCACTGATATATGCTTAAAAAATTCCTGCGCTTAACGGGCATGCTATTCATCCAATCACCTGCTCCGACTCCACTCTTCCCCGCTATGCACTGAAGCGACATTGGAGACGTTTCACGATCTTCCTGTATATTGTCTATTTGGAAAGGATTACTTGCAAAGACACTCAGAGACCTGCTTTCAAGGGTGCTAGCCGGAAGGTGTTCCAAAATTCCCGCGTGTCGTAACATCTGCCCAGTGTCTCCATGGAACGCGGAAGCGCTCGCACTTCCTCCTCTACCATGAGTTCGTAAACCCATTGTGCCTGTTTACTCGGCGAGCGGTCGACGCCACCCCCTGAACTTTCTGTCTCGTCCGCCCATGCTGCGAAAAGAGACCACCAATCGTAGACAAAGCCGTCCGTAAGCATCCATCGACCATTTCCATTTCGCGTCGCGGCCTCCCAGTTGCTTGTCACAGCCACGATGGCTCGGGCGACGTCCTCCCCGTGAATCAGGTGTAGACTCTTCTTCAACGATACCGCTTCTTTTGATCCACCGATTGTACCACGACTGACCCAGTGCTTCGGGTCTCTTTGTCCGCCCCACAGCCCGGAGAGATTGAGGACACACCCGCCGTAGGTGAGCAGCTCGTCTTCAGCAATGGCACGCTCATTGGATGTGTTGTATGGGGAGTAGCGTGTGACCCAAGGCCATTCCGGATCTGAGAGCTTGTCGCGAGGTAGATCCCAGATGCCGGTACTGCCCAGCTGGATGAAGTGGACATTGCTAGTAGAGACACCATGAGCTTTGGAGTAGGACTCGACGAGGAGTTTGCTCTGTCCAACCCCTTTGAGTGGGAAGACGACGACGACGTATTTTGCTAATGGGATGTTTGAAATGTCCTTCTGCTCCTCGTCAATCGGATCGAATCCCCAGGCAATAGTATCAGCGCCCGCAACAGCTCGTCCGTCTCTTGTGGTGGCTGCGAATGCAAGCCTCTGTGTCTGGAGTAGGGGGATAAGGAATTCGCCAATCCACCCAGCTCCTAGGATAAGCACATCAAGTTGTGTCATTTGAGAAAGGTGTGTCAAACGTAGTCTCCAGTAGCTGACCTAATACAGATATATGATAGTCGATATATCTATGTTTATAAGGTCTGCTTTAGTCTCCTATAAGCAGACCGTATTGACAGGAAGACAGTCGTTCCTGATCTTGTAACGGTCTGCGATTATTGGTGAGACCTTGACCGTTGCTAAGATATTCATCAACGAAGTCTCGGTCTTAAGTACTAGCGAGCATTAGTCAGCAGTGGCTGACGGCTCGTCAATTCCTTCCAGTCAAATTTGCAAGCGTATACTACCTCTGTATTGTAGTAGACTTGAATAAGACATGGATGACAATCAAGCCACACATGTACCCTCTCATTCTGAGTGAACAATACACTGGCAATCCTTCAGAGCCTAGTATCAACCCCCAATGCCGAGGCCCGTCCACTGTCGACTTCAATGTCACTTCCACAGCTGCCATTTCTACCGTTAAACACACCACAAACCCCTATACAGACGCCTCACAGTCGCCCCCCTTCATCATCAGCATCTACCAGGTCCTATAGCACTAGACAAACACCAGAAGAAAAGTTAGATGTAATATTCAACACAATCATCAAGGAAATGCACTGGTCTTTCGCAGAATTCATGTACTATGCATTCCGGATAAAAGACAATGATGGAAATGAAATTCACCGAACGAAACAGCATGCTACCATCATCAGTCGATTTTTACGAGGTCGTGACCGGCACCTGCCCATTGACATACTTGCAATGTGGATGGAACACCCTGATGGCCGCCCAGTAACAGAGGAAGAGAAACAAAGCATGTACTCACCCTCAGTTCCCTATTCCGACATCAAACCTGCACGTCCAGCAATTACAACTTTCTCTGTTCAAATTGTGGGCCGTCATCTTATTCGTGAGCAGACCAAAGCCCTCCAGCCAAAAAATGGCCTTGCGCTGGGGAAAGCCAGTGATCCATTGACTTGGCCAATCCTAGGCAAAGCAACATTCAGCCACGTAAAAGTTCTATTACAAACACACCAGCCTCTCTTGTGGTACTTCATACTGTCTTTATGCACTCCTCCCCAACGCATACGGAATGGTGTCCTGAGAGTGGGATCAGAAGCAAGAGCCTGGAGGACGAGCATGTACATGAACAGGTAAGCAGTTTTGCCTCCCCCTGTCGGTATAATGGCCAAGAGGTCTACTCCATCTAGGGATTTGCATACACCTTCAATCTGGTAGTCATGAGGTTGGAACGAAAGCAATGGTGCAAGGATATGTTGCACAAGAGATGTCCCCTCAGGTGTACTAAACATGAAATTGGGTGAGGAATGATCTTGTCCTTTATGGGCTGACATCATTCGAGCTGAAGAAAATAAAATATATTGTTGTCGGGTACTGTCTACTTGGTTTACAGTCTGTCTGTTTGATTTGAACACAACGTGTCTTAATCATGTGGCCGTTTATCCTTGCATTGATGTATAATGTAAGCAAGCCTTAACACCGAATACCTCAGCAACGGGTAGATGGCAACCAATATTTAGAACAAAGCTTGAAGGAAGTGTCTAGCCACTTGCTGAGAGCAATCAGGGACTGGAACTAGAGTCCAATGTGAGTAACTATATTATTAGAGAATATGACAGGTATACAGTACCTAGAGTCCAATGTGAGTAACTAGAGAATAGGAAGCATTGGACTCTGCAGTACTGTCCGAAGTTTTGTAAACAAAGGTAAACAAAGCAGCCACAAAGGCGAAATAATAGAGAACACAATCAATAGTGAATGATAGAAGAATAGATAGAGAAAGGAATGAAAATATATAGGTAGCACAAAGGTGCAGAATCACCAAAACTAACAACCAATGGATGAAGGCTAGGTCTGCTTCATAGTAAGCCTTGGTGGTGTGTGAGAGCCCCCCATTCGGTGTCAATAACACGAATTGTTGACGCTTTCCCGCCAAAGCCCGAGCTCAGGAGTAACTCCGCAAAGCTCTTTCCAACTCAGCAGGTCAAACTCTATTTTTGACAGCAAGAGCTCAACTCGAGCTCATTGTAGGTGATCAATAATGTACAGTGACATGGACTCAATAATATAGGGACTCGATAATACAGAAAATTTCCTCCCCCATCCTATATGCAGGGGCTATATTTCTTATGAATGGTTCCTCCACAAAAGCACCTGCAGGAAAAGTGCTTGCTCATTCCTTGGGTGCAATGCCGAACATTTTGACCCCGAGGTGCCGGGGCATGCCAATTTTTGAACCAGCGGATCACCCCCAGTGAAAAGTCAATCTGTATAATTAGTTATAGATCTATATAAATATAATTGTGCATAAATCTATATGAAAAGTTGTGAACATGTTCGGTAATGTCCGAACACAGGCCCATCATCGCATGACATCAGTGCACTCACAATGGTATATCTCAATACATGTGTTCAAGTGCTCAACACAACTTGAGTTAACTCTGATTCTATCTCATAACACAAGACATGCTGACCCAGTGAGTTGTTTACTTTTGTTAATAATATGATATCATTTATAGTGTTCTGTCAACTTTGAGAGATTTTAAACAATACTCTAGATCTTTCTCTCTGAACTACATCCTGCACATTCGTTCCTTGTTTCTGCTGTAAGTACTTCCCACCACTATATGTGTATAAGTTTATACTCACAGCCATACTCTTTCCAGCAACATTCATGCGCTTGGCTATATGCGCTGTAAGGTATTATGCACTACCATCTATACTATTACTGCTGTTCACAGCTGTACTCTTTTTAGGTGTAACATTGGCTATATGCGGTGTAAGGTATGTATCTGTTCTGTTTCACATATACTATGCTAATATAGTCATTAAATTCTTACTTTACTCTTGCTGCTGCATCAACCTGTTGGGTAAAAGAAGTGGTGAGTTGTATGCTCTTCAGATTGTTCTTGCACTGTGTTTTATTATATTGAAACAAATAGAATTATATTGATATTCTCGAATTTTTACCCTGAGATATGCTACAACAAGATCTATATGATTCTATATAATTCTAATGCTATGAAGAATCTCTATTGAATTATATCAAAAAATATCGTGAATACTGCCAAATTTCTATATAATTCAATACAGGCTGATACAATTCCATATACATTGATATTTGATTCGAAACTCAGCTGACCTGTTGGTTTTTTGCCTTGATGCGTCGTTTTCATGAATTATACAGATTTATATAGAACAACTTTTCATTAAGGATCACTATTTATTACTACCAAATGGGGAGCTCCTGCCAAAGGTTGTTACTGTTACAATACACAATTTTTGGATCTTTAACTTTCACTCTCTGCTTTAACTTTCATTCTTTATTTTCACACACTGTGCCATGCTGTCACAATCCTCAACTCCACAACCTACACTTTCATCTTATCTATCGAACTCTGAAGTAGAAACATTCATATCGCCATATCTAATTACGTAACAATATTTATCTTATCTTGTCTCGTGACTCTAAAGTCACATAACCACTTACTCATCTACTTACTCATCAGTCATGCACAATCCTCATGTTTCTCAGTCAGCGCCTCAAGGCTGACACATTCCTCCACATATATAAGTAGCTAGTTTCCATTGTACATATCTCAGCTTTTGATTTCTTCTAAATATACCAAGTTCAACTACCTGCTAGTAGATTGATGTTATCACTCCGTTGGTTCGGAATAGTGAGAACATTATATAATCAAAAGCTTGTACAAGCACTTAGTTGTATGAACCAAACAGAGGCTATTCTCATCATATTCTTAATCCCCGCCATCACAATCCTATTCTTCCTAACAATTAAACTCTACTTTTTCCTCACCACACCACCTTCACCTATCACATCACCTACCCCTTGACCATCTACCATCATCACATTTATTCAAACAACGCCCTCTAACTCTTCATTCAAAACCATTCCCCTTTCACTTATCACCCGTCCCACAAACCCCGTACTTAGAGACCGAGACGATGTGGAATTGTTAAGGTTTTACTAGATACAACTTTGCATACTTTTCATCTTCGCTTTCCTCTAAACAGGCCGTGCACTTGCATCCGCCAGTTGGAGAGGGACTGACAGCTTAACAAGCGGGTCACACTGAGACAACAGTTCGGACCTCAGTTTTTACGATAGTCTTTTAGTTACACTTTTTAGAACAGTCTTACATACGTGGTAGTAGGGAACTGAAGAGGATCCCTTTACCAAAAGAAGAGACAGAAAAAGGGAACCTACAAATGCGACATGTTGATCCAGATTTGTCATCTGGGGAACCATTTTTGTATGCCCTTTGCCGAAGAACAATGAAGCATTTGGTCATTCCTTGATCCAACCCCTGAACTCAAACAGGAAACACCAGAACCACAACCTATATTCCCCCCACAACAAATCCTATCCTACCACATCCCAATCAACAGATATGTCATTCAACACATGGAGGGAGACAAATCCCGACATGTTACCCCCATTGACACCCGGAATGGGCATGAACAAATTAGGAGAGGCCCTACCGCCTACTCCGCAACGAGAACAATTGCCTTCACCAGAGTCGAGGTGAATGCAGAACTTAGAAATGATGGTCCGGATGGCCGTAAACACCGCAATCCAGGACAACAACTCCAAGTGGGAAAGGCGATTCCTACAAAGGGACACAGAAGTTGCCGACTTGCGAAGAAGGCTTGCAATGCAACCACTGCAGCCACAGCAGCAGATGGACCGGCCCATCGAACAAGGAGCCGGATACAGAAAAATCGCATTAGCCAAACCTGAACCGTGTGACGGTAATAAGAAGAAGTTCCAGAACTTCTTCAAATCATTACAGCTCCATTTCAGGGCAAACCCAGAATATTTCCGGATAGAAGCAAACAAGATTAAGTTTGCTCTATCCTATATGATAAGCGGGGCGGCGGCAGCATTAAGGACAGTGGGTTGAAAGAAAGATGCTTGCGGAAGAGAGGACAGACGTTGAAGAGATGGAGCAACTTGAAAGCTGGGCTCGCTTTGAATCCATGCTAAAAGAACATTTCCAAGACGCATTTGAAGAAGAGAGAAGCAAGTACGAGATAATGTACTTGAAACAAGGTACCCTGACGGTGCAGAAATACTTTGTAAAATTCGAAGCAACAAGAAGACGAGCAGGATATAATGTGAAAGGGAATGAACAATCCCTGATCACATTAATCAGAAACAATATCAACGCCCCCTTGATCAAACAGATTATATACCCAGGAAACATCCCTAAAACATACACCGAGTGGAAAACGAGGATCATTACTAATGATCAATTGTGGTCTCGCCCTAATGATCAATTGTGGCGAGACCAAGCAGAAAACGAGAGGATGATGAAGGGTATGGCCGGCAGCAGCTCTGGTTCCGGAAACCAGGGACCCAATGGCCGATACCGAGGAGAGGGCGCTTCAGAGAAGAAGGCCAAGACGGTGGAAGAAAGGAAAGACGGGACTGGAACCACATATGGTGGAGCCGGTCAAAGAATGGAAGTAGACAAGGCAAAGTACCAAGCAGAAGGCAGGTGCTTCAAATGCGGCGAGAAAGGGCATAGGGCCCAAGACCACAAAGAAGAAGGTAGTGCAGCTACAAAGCTGAAGTTCAACCTTTGTGCCATACTAGGAGGGATGAAGAAAGAAGAGCAAGATGAGCTCTTAAAGGATTTTTAAAGAGGCCGGCTGTGACTCCTCGTCAGACCAAGCCCAAAGAATTTACAAATGTAAATAGATATGCTTCCCTCTCTGTTGATAATCTTGATGCATATACCAATGAAAATAAGATTGCATTATTTAAAGATACACAAGATTTGAAACAGAAAGAAAAGCAATCTACAGAGGAGAACCTGAAAGGCAAACAGGTTAAAAAGATTCCCAAAACAGAAACAACTAGGGCACAGAATGAAGCGACTCAATTGGGTAGCACTTCTGAGACTGATGCCCTGACACATTCTGAAGCGGCGCGCAAGGTATCCAAAGGGGATGGAACCACAAAAAGGGCAGCAAAAAAGGAGACAACTGAAGTACAGAATGCAGTGACTCAATTGGGTAGCACCGATAATACTGATACTTCGACCAGCTCCAAAGAGGTCAGGCACACCTCTGATAAAAACCTAGAGAACAGAAAAGTACCATAGACAGCTGCATGGATAGCGGAAAGGCTATGGGACCAAAAGGAAGAAAGATTTATTGGTATCCTAAATAGCTGGACCCATAAGAAATGAGGAAAAGAAGTGACTGCAGAATTAATTAAAGAACTAAACACCCTACCGATTCACGAAACAGTAGCGGCATTGGAAGAATTGAGAAAGCCCAAACAATTCATCAGAGGCACTCAAGGAAACCAAATGAGCATAACTTGCAGACTCACAAACCTCGGAATGTATCAATCAACGACGATAGATGCATTACTAGACAGCGGTTGTACCGGAAGTTGTATAGATTCAAAATTTGTTGAAGAACAGGGATATGAAAGGCAAAAAAACCCTAGACCAATTCCAGTTTACAATGCCAACGGCACCCTTAACCGGGATGGAAGCATTAAAGAATTCATAGAACTATTAGTGGAGATAGACGACCATGCCAAAAGACTTCAGCTGGCGGTTACCAATCTCGGAACCAGCTGAATGTTCCTAGGCCATGAATGGTTAAAAAGCACAATCCCATAAAAGTCAAAATTAAACTTCAACAGATGCCCAAACGGATGCAACATGATGGTACACTTCATAAACCCAGAAGAAGATCTAGAAACCTATTGCCCTGAGGTCAATCTCAAGGAGGGGGATAGAATCCTACAATTCAATTTCTTAAATATCAAAGATACATCTATTCTGAATATCATACATCGAATCCGCGCTCACGGCACCACAGCACAACAATTAGCCAAAGCAGCAGGGAAAGACCAAAAGACAGGAGTATTCGAAGGAATAGTACCCAAACACCTTCACGACTTCAAAGATGTAATCAACAAAAAAGAATTTGACACCCTCCCAGAGAAAAGACAATGGGATCATGCAATAGAGCTGATTCCAGGAATAGACTGCAAGGTTTAGTTTATCCATTAGCAATAGGAAAACAAGAACAGTTGGATGCCTTCCTAAAAGAGAACTTAGATTCAGGACGCATCCGACCAAGTAAATCTCCAATTGCTTCACCAATCTTCTTCATTAAGAAAAAAGATGGGAAACTCTGACCTGTCCAAGATTACCGGAAACTAAATAAAATCACCATCAAAAATTGATATCCGCTACCCCTAATTAACGAACTTGTAGACAAGCTCAGGGGAGCAAAATTCTTCACTAAATTAGATATCAGATGGGGATATAATAATATCCGGATCAAGGAAGGAGATGAACACAAAGCGGTGTTCAGAACAAACAGAGGACTATTTGAACTATTAGTCATGTTCTTTGGTTTAACAAACTCGCCAGCAATATTCCAAACAATGATGAACTCCATCTTTAAAGACTTAATAGAAGAAAGAAAAGTAGTGATATACTTGTTTGACATTATGATCTTCACCGAAACAATCGAAGAGCACCAAGCAACGACGCAATATGTTCTTCAAATCCTAAGAAAGAACCATTTGTATCTAAAACCAGAGAAGTGCGATTTCAAAGAAACAGAGACAGAATATCTGGGATTAATTATCTCAAAAAACGAAATTTGCATGGACCCGGTGAAAGTCAAAGGAATCCTGGATTGGCCTGAATGCACAACAAAAAAGCAGGTGCAGGCCTTTCTTGGTTTCATAAACTTCTACAGAAGGTTCATCAAAGGATTTGGAGTGATCGCAAAACCGCTTACCCAACTCACCGGTAAAGAAGAGTTTAAATGGGGAAATGAGCAAAAAAAAGCATTCAAAGAGATAAACAAAAGAATTAGCTCAACCCCAGTACTAGCTCTACCGACCAACAACGGTCAATACGGAGTCAAAGCAGATAGTAGCGATTATGCTCTAGAAGCAGTACTTTCCCAAGAGCAAGAGGGAGTCCGGAGACCAATAGCTTACTTGTCAAAATCTCTGAATGAAACAGAAAGGAACTACAAGATTTATGACAAAGAACTATTAGCCATCATGACAGCTTTAGAGGAATGGCGTCACTACTTAATGGATGCCACAAAAGAGTTCGAGATTTGGACAGATCACCAAAATCTCACTTATTTCAAACAACCTCAGAAGCTAAATAGAAGGCAAGCAAGATGGGTCAGCAAACTGGCTAATTACCACTTCACACTTCATCATAAACCAAGAGCAACTCACATTAAAGAAGACTTATTATCCAGACGACCAGACCACTACAAGGGAGAGAACGACAACGAAAATGTTATAGTCCTCAAAAAAGATCTGTTTAAAATCAACATGTCTCTAACTGCAGAACAAAGGATAAAGATGGAAGAATCACAACAAGAGACAATGGAGACATATAAATGGATCAGTAAGAGAATGAACAATATAGATGAAGTTGTAAACAAGGTGGAGGAGAAGATAAAAAACAACCAAGATGGTTGGTGGACAGATGGAGAATTCATTTATTTCAAGGGACAAATGTATATTCCGAAAGACCAAAAACTCAGAGAAAAGATCATTAGAGACAACCACAATTCCATCATCGCTGGCCACCCAGGCCAGTATAAAATGAAGGAATTAATTACCAGAACATATTGGTGACCCTATATGGATAAAGACATCCAAGAATACGTAACGGGATGCAAAACTTGCCAAAGAACCAAAATAGATCATCAGAAAAAGGCAGCACCACTACATCCAAATGAGATCCCAAGCCGTCCCTGGCAAATCATATCAACAGATCTCATTGGACCGTTACCCGAATCTAAAAGACACAATATGATAATGGTGATCGTAGATCGATTCTCTAAAATGATCAAATTATTACCAACTCACACCGAGTTGAATTCCGAAGGAGTGGCAAGGTCATTCAGAGACAACATCTTCAGACATCATGGACTACCCGATAAAGTCATATCTGATCGGGGAGTACAATTTGTCTCAAACTTCATGAAAGACCTATACACACTACTCGGAATCAAAGAGAATCCATCCACTGCATATCATCCTCAGACAGATGGACAAACAGAGAGGATTAACCAAGAGGTTGAACAATACCTCAGAATCTTTGTTAATCATAAACAGGATGACTGGACAGAATAGCTACCTTTGGCAGAGTTTTCCTATAACAATAAAGAGCATTCAGCTACGGGATATAGCCCCTTTTATTGAAATTACGGACAACATCCAAAAGTAGTAGAAGGAATCAAAAAGACGGTGAAGAGTGAAAGTGCGGAAGAGTTTGTAGAAAGAATGAAAGAGACACGACAAAATGCGGAGAAATCTCTGGCAAAGGCAGCCGAGATTATGAAAAGGTCTTACAAAAAAAACAAAAAAGAAAGTGTGGTATATAAACCAGGGGACAAGGTTTACGTTGAAGTGGAACACATCACCACCATTTGACCATCAAAGAAGTTGGATGACAAACAACACGGACCCTTCGTAGTTGAAAAGAAAACTGGACCGGCAGCTTATAAGCTCAAACTACCCGGCAAATGGAAAAATGTTTACCCAGTCTTTAATGAAAAACTTTTACACCCCTACAAAGAACCAACATTCCCAAGTCAGAAAAAACCAAAACCACCACCACCCGCAGAAATAGAAGGGCAAAGAGAATACAAAGTAGAGCAAATACTTGACTCACAATTGAAACATCGCAAGTTAGAATATCTGGTTCACTGGAAGGGATATGGTAAAGAAGAGCAAAAATGGGAATCAGAGAGTAACATCAAAAATTCTCCGGATTTAGTAAAAGATTTCCATGATCACTTCCCAGCCACCCCTAAACGAATCAACTTCACACTACAATTTCAACCTTTTGAAAATCTGACTCAACCATCATTTAATCGTAGACTGTTCAACTGGGAGAATGGCAAATTTGACTCCACCTTTCGAGACAAAAGTCCTAAGGGGGGGGTAATGTCACAATCCTCAACTCCGCAACCTACACTTTCATCTTATCTATCGAACTCTGAAGTAGAAACACTCATATTGCCATATCTAATTACGTAACAATATTTATCTTATCTTGTCTCGTGACTCTAAAGTCACATAACCACTTACTCATCTATTTACTCATCAGTCATGCACAATCCTCATGTTTCTCAGTCAGCGCCTCAAGGCTGGCACATTCCTCCACATATATAAGTAGCTAGTTTCCATTGTACATATCTCAGCTTTTGATTTCTTCTAAATATACCAAGTTCAACTACCTGCTAGTAGATTGATGTTATCACTCCGTTGGTTCAGAATAGTGAAAACGTTATACATGCGGCACTTTCCATTTTATTCAAACTCCACTTTCTCGTGCTGCACTGCTTTCTTTATTTTTAGATACAAGTCTCTCACGCAGTGGAGCTGGTCACATAGGCTGTGCCCTATGACATCATCAGCCACTGCCTTCATCAACTGTACAGTACACATATACAAACAAACTGTAGTGATATAAATACCCAATAAATCCAGGAGACTCCTCAGCAAGTCCTCCTGTTGTTTACCCACAACTAACTTGGTCCTACCTTAAGGGAGATTATCCTCTCCTCCACTCACCACTCTTTGCTTGTTCTTGTTGTGCACCAGAGTATACAAACTTTGGTCGTTACAGTTACTATAGACCAGTCTTTGGTTGAGATGCATGTGTGACACTCAATATTTTATTCTGCTATGTATAGTGAATACATGTGTGTTTAAGTAGGGAACACATCAGGAAAAACACTTTGGCTATATAGCAGAGGCATTACTATAGATGCTACTATAGCTCTTATAGTACTATAGTATCAGAAAAAACACTTTGGCAATATAGCAGAGGCAATACTATTTATACTATTATAGCTCTAATAGTACTATATAGCAAAGATAATACTATTTATGCTATTATAGCTCTGATAATGCTATATAGCAGAGGCATTACTATAAATGCTATTATAGCTCTAATAGCCTATATGGGTTTCTAAGATTGACTAGCATGAGGCAATTGTAGAAAATAGTCTACATGGGAGAAGTGAGGTGGCGCGGTCCTCTTCGTCTGCTACCACATCATTCCGACTCTTAGTACAGTGATGATTTCCTGTATTTCAGAAATATTCTTCGCATTTATCTACAGACAAGTACAGTGTCCGATGCCTTCAATCCTGAACAACCCAAACACTGCAGTGGCTCCTGATTTCACCAGAGAAGAATACCAAGAAGCGAGAACTGAGCTATCAAATGAACTCATTGACGACGCGCTGGCAGCAAGAATTTTGGCTAACCTGTGGAGCATTGCCAACAACAAGGACAAGATAGCATGGGCCCAGCAGAGAGAAGAGGAAATCTTGGTAGCAGAGAGAGAATGCCAATGGCTAGAAGAAGAAGTTGTTATGCAGCAAAAAAGTCTCGCAGATGAACAAGACGTGGCACATAGAGAGGAACGCAAAAAGAACAAGTTGAAGTACGCGCCAGCTAGAGACATTGATGTCCCTTCAGACCCGGTTATTATCCCATTGCAGTACACTACTAGGAAAATGAAGGCAGGGGAGTATTGTGAGCTCCATTATTTCACCAATAGAGGGCTTGAAGAAGCATTGCACTCATTGCTTACTACAGATGCAGAAGTGCTAGTAATGCGAGGGATGTAGCAGAGGCATACAGGACCATCCCACTCAAGAAATCACAATGGGCGGCCACAGTAGTAAAAGTCTCCAACGACCAATACTATGTAGATACCTGCACCCCATTTGGTGCTTCTCCAGCTGCAGGAGTCTATGGGCATTTAGCAGATGCCGGCGCCGAGATAATGCTTCACCATGGCATGGGTCCGGTAGATAAATGGGTGGATGATCATATTTTCTTCAGAGTTCGCCGCAATCAATTAAACAATTACAACCACATCCGAGGTGTGTTCCATCAGAATAGTGCCGTTTTGGGAAAGCATCAATCAGGCAGTCGTCTATGGTATGGAGGCCGGATTTTTGATGACAGGTCCCTGGAAGAATCCAGCAAGAATTGCAAATGGCCCATCAAAGACCTAGCCACTCTTTTGCCACAATCAGATTATGATAATCTGTTCTCTTACATGCTGAGCGATATTGATAAGATATCAGATATCCTAGGCATCCCATAAGAGACATCCAAGGATCAACCTTTTGATTCGAAAACAATCTATATAGGTTTCCTATGGGATATCCAGCGATGTCAAGTTTCACTCAGCCCAGAAAAAATACGAAAGTATCTTTTGGCAATACAGCCATGGAGAACGAGGCCAACTCATGTCCTTCAGGATGTGCGGGAATTATATGGCAAGCTCCTGCACGCCTGCTTGGCCCTTATCATGGGGCGTGTATTCTTGACAGGTTTGGAACGCATGATGTTAAGTGTGTGTCACAAGAAGCCACTGTTGCCCCATCGGCCAGACAAAGGGATCAAGCAAGATTTAGAATGGTGGTCCCTCATGCTGCAAACCGGGCAAATTTCACACCCTATTTTCCCCATCCAGAGGCATCTACGGCCCAGAACAATTACTACTCCCTTATGTACCCATCCCGCAGCATATCCAGTGCTACATTGTTGATGCCTGTGAACCACTTTCCACAGCCGAGTGTAGAGCACTCAGTGACGGTAGCTACACTCCTGCTGCAGCAAAAGTCATCAATCGAGCAAAGTTACAACAGGAAGCCAGAGACCGATTGGACTCCAACCGTCAAAGAGACCACAACTATGTTGTTTCCGCCACAAATTTCAGCAGGCAGGACTAACCCGCATTTTGACACTCCACTGGGTTTGCAGAGCAAAGAGAACAAAGCCTTTCCGCAAACATACAGGCCAGAGCTTACCCCACTTAATTCCATCTTGCAACCACATTGCTTAGCCAGAGACAGGCTAAGAATGTGGATTCCCGCGGGTTGTCCCCCTCATACAAACATTGTATTTATCTCCCCCAATCATGCCATTCCATCCGAACACCAATTAGACAGGATCCTTGAAGTAATTGGAGCGTCATGGGCTCTGTAACAACCAAGAGTTATTTACTCTGGCGCACACAGGAACACACTATAAAGAAGATGATGGGGAGTGGTTACCCCTTAGGCTGCAGTGAGTTAGTTGTGCTAGACAACAGGAGGACTTGCTGAGTCCTTCCCCATGTATTGCTCTTGTATATATACTGAAATACATGAGGTACTGTACAGTTGTAAATAAAGTTCAAAGTCCGATGTCTAGCATGTGACCGGTCACATGATGAGTCTAGACACTGGTCAGGTGATGTGTCACATGACTGATTATGTGACTATGAAAAGTCGAAAATGTAATGTAAAGTAAATGGTCACATGACTGGTCATGTGACTTGGAAAATAAAAGTAGAAGTACAAAAGTGAAGCGTAAGTAGGTGCTGGTATGTTAATTGTAACAGGCTCAATCCACCAAAAAAATGTACGGAGCGGGTCTCTTGGTTTTTCACACGTACTGTAATATGCATGCCATTCCTGAAGAACAACGCTGTTCGTTGTCTCCAACTTTCCTGATGACTTTCATTTCTAGCTGCGCTGGATCATATTCTGGTTCATCTCTTGCAAACTATGCAGCCGGGCTGAGAGCATGGCATCTTTTACACGGTCACAAGTGGATGATTGACAAAGACGGACTTAAAGCAATCCTCAAAGGAGCATGCAGACTCGCGCCTCCCTTGTCCAAACATCCCAGAAGAGCTCCAATCACCCCAGCTATCATGTTGTTATAAGGGCCGAGTTAAACGCGTCAATATTTGCTTGTCTGACTACAGCTTTCTACATTATAGCAAGACTAGGGGAACTTACCGTCCCTTCAATCAAAGACTTTTTGCAAACCAGTCACATCATGCACGCTGATGTTTCGGAGGTTGTCGATAGAAACGGTTTGAAAGTCACTTAGCTCCACATTCCTACCACAAAATCATCGCCAATTACTGGTGAAGACATACAATGGGCAGAACAGGTTGGACTGACAGACCCCAAATGGACGCTAGAGAATCATTTGCATATAAATGCGGCTGACAATAGGCAGCACTTATCCACATGGAAACACACCAAAGGCTTGTGCCTGCTTTTGAAGAAAGAATTCATCAAGTGGCTGTTGCTAATTTTTCACGCCAAGAATCTCACTGACCTCAAAGGTCATAGCATTCGCATTGGGGGGACCCTAGAATATTTACTACAAGGAGTACCATTTGACATAGTAAAGACAATGGGAAGGTGGTCGAGCAAAGCCTTCACACTTTACTTGCGGGATCACGCGAACATCCTAGCCCCATACCTGCAAAACTTGTCATCTTTAGAACCTTTCACGAGGTACACAATGCCGCCGGTGCGATAAACTTATATGGCACAGTAAGTCATTACTCCTACAGAGCGGGTCTGAGCTCTGCCTCATGCGTTGTTTCCTTATTTCTTGACACCTAGTATCAGGGACACAGCTCACTCGATACGCTCTTTTTCAAGGCATGTTTCAGATCGAAAAGCCCCTCCGGGTTTTCTCCCAAACCAATTTTATTAACCAACATTTCAGATCAAGGAAATCATTCTATTTATCTTGTACTAAGACAGAACTTTGAAAGGACATAGATAGCTATTAAGGCCATAGTACATATTTATAGTAATGCTTTATTCAAGTATAAGTTGTGACAATGTGTAAAAACAAAATGACAAGTCCATAAAAGGTCAATAACGTTATTCAAATATAAGTTGTGACAATGTGTGACAATGTGTAAAAAAATTTACAAGTCCATAAAATGTCAATATATTACACATGTAAAGTATATTTTGTAAGCCTTTATGGTGTAGTGGATAAATGTGTGGTATGTGGCTGTAGATTGATTGGCCCGCAAAAAAGCGGACCAACAGATTGAGAGTTCAAACCTTGTGTGTGTGATTATATTTTTAAATCAGCCACAAGCTCTCTCATAGCCTATATAGTCAGCCATATGCTATAAGTGCTATAAGTGCTATAAGAGGCTATAGCCAACTATAAGAGTACTATAAGAGCACATTGTTCCTGAATAGATGTTGGGGTTTCTATTGCAGCTATGATCACTATGACAACTATATTTGCAACTATAGTACTATTAGAGTCTATATAGCCAAAGTGTTTTTCCTCATGCACATGAATGTGTATGTATATAAGTAGAGAAAATATGAGGGTGTATGTATGTGAGTATTGTATTGTATTTGTTTTTGGGGCAAAAGCTGGGATTTCCCCCTTACAGTATTTTGTATAATGCCATGGATATGTAATGTTTGAAATGAGGTAGTCAGCATGCTGCAATACCTGCGGGAATAGGAGATAGATGGCGACATATGCAGCAAGGCTGACACATCAGGAAAAACCTTTTGCTATATAGCACTATATAGCCACCACCTATATATATAAATGCATTCATAGAAACTATAGCACTATCAGTGCAATCATAGCTCTTATAGCTTTTATAGCACAGTAGTAGGCAAATTTTTAACCAAGGGGAGAAATATCTATAATTCCCTCAAACTCTGGATTAATCTAATAAACTTGTTCAATAATAGAAAGAGGCCAGAAGTGTTTGGAGTCAAGTATATTATTATAGGCAAGATACTATAATTGCTCTTATAGCCTATAGCAGCCTACATAGCTCCTATAGCTGTAAAGGTCATAGTTATAATATAGTTCAAGGTGTTTAAAAGGGCTAATAAATCATACAGTATTAATTAATTATGTAGCCTGTATTAGTGAAATAGTAGTTTGTATCTTTGATATATATAAAAATAAGAACAATGATCCAAATATAAGTGGTGACAATGAGTAAAAAAATAACCTAAGTCCATGAAAGGTCAATATATAACACCTATATAGTACATTTTATAAGCTCTCATGGTGTAGTGGATAAGTGTGTGATGTGTGGCTATAGGTTGCTTAGTCACCAAAAAGTTGACTAGCAGGTTGAGAGTTCAGATCCTGTCTGTGTTAAATTCCTTTATCAGCCACACAACAATTTCCAACGTCTATAAGAGCAGTTATAGAGCTATATGAGGCTTTATAGATGGCAGAGGTTCTATAGCAGGTTTGACCACTATAACAGCTTTATGAGCACTTATAGTGCTATAGAGCTCTATATAGCTACCCTTATTTTTCCTGATGGCCCTTTTAATGATTCAAAAATCAAAAATAATTGCACTGCAAATGAATGTTCTGCTGAAAAAAAAAGGAACTGGAGCCACCGGTCCACCACCTAGTCCAAATCTGACAGTTTTATGGCTTTACCAATGGTCTGGTTGTAGTGGACCACCTGGTCAAACAAGGGATGGAGAGGAGTAGTTCCAATTTGGAACAAGTGAGTCCCAGGCTGCGTGTGATAAGTATGGCTGTAGCCAAGACGATGGACGAAGGATAGATGTACCCAAGTAAATGGGACAGCAATGTACAGTGGCGATGCAAGGGGATCAACCTTCTCCAGCTCGAAGGGTTTTGTGTTACTAAAGAAGCTCTCATCATCAAAATTGTGGTGGGAGTGCTACTTGTCCTCACCCTCTTCTATGGTTTTGTCTTCCCTCATATTTGCGCTTATTGTCAACACGAACGTGTTGAGGTCATTTACCTCCACAACAGAACAACACATCCCTCCAGTGCATCTATATTCACTCCCAGTACTGAGGTGCTTGCAGATTCCACAGTTGAAGTTTGAGGTAGATGCTGGTAACACATTTCTATATTCCTTTCTTACTTAACACTCTATTCAGCGCTCTTGGACCATATGCCGCTTTTTCCCATTCTCTTTTTACTTGTTATATATCTAATACTTCAAGTTGTACAAAATGGCCTCTTAAATTACTATGTTTTCCAAATTTTCCTTCCTTTACTCTTGTACCAGCTTCTTTTTTTATTGTCTATGTTCCCTTTTCATTCTTATCTGATCTTTTTCCTTCCCCCCTTGTAAAACCTCTGACCTCATCCCAATCCTATTTGGTCCGAGATGACGCAAAACTACCACGGCACTTTCCTTCTTTGAACTTTTTTTGTTTTAACCCTAGTTACATGATAGACATTGTGGACCCTATACCTGTACCAGCACCTGATTGGTTGAGTCTTGGAGCTTACAAATGTGTTGATCACAGAGTCAAACCTGTTTCTGGTGTATTCCCAGAAGACACACGTGTCATCCAGTTATTTCCAGAAGATCCACTACTTTTGCTCCCACCCCTTCCTGTCCAGAATTCATTCCCATGCCAAAGCTCACCAAGGAGCGCCTCTACAACAAAACAAGCTAAACTCTGATGGATTCTTATGGCCAGAAGAAGAAAAGCTGTTCGCTCACATCAAGATACTCAATCAGCGCAGTCTTGCCTTTGAGGAAACTGACAGAGGAATGTTCAGAGAAGACTACTTCTCTCCCTATGTCATACCTGTTCTCCCACATGTCCCTTGGGAATACAAGAGCATTCTTATTCTTCCTGGAGTCAAGAATGAAGTCATAGAATCACTCCCTCTCAGAGACAAAATCAAAGCTGGAGTTTATAAGCCTAGCCAGTCGTCTTATCGCTCCAAGTGGTTTTGTATTCAGGAAAAAGATGTTACGCACGAAGTGCTTAACAAAATCTGAGGGTTTGTCAAGGTTTATAAAGAGACTTATCCGAAGACAAGTTCGAGAACATAGTTCTGAGTGGAGGTCTTCCAACAAGAGTTGGTCTTCTTCTGAGTAGAAGTCTGATCTTAGGAGTCTAGCTTTGTAAGCGTAAACTGTGTAGAATCGTATTAGAGAATACTACTGCTGTTACATGGTATTTATAATGGAAAGGAATTGGTGATAGGAGTTAGGTCCTATTTAGGGCAGGTCCGTCTGTTGAGGACTAAGTACTATAATAGGTACTGTGAATGCGAGAGGAACAGAAGTGTACGTGAAGGAAATGAGTCATCAGTCCGATGGTATAACCAATGAGTAAAAAGAAATGAGTAGTCCTTAAATGTCCAATAGAGATTGTAACAGAAGAATGGCAAGATTCATATTGTCCATA